GCGTTGCGCCATAGGGTGGCCATCAGTCTCTGTGGCGTTGCGGAGACCGAACAGTAGCGTTGTTGAGGCGCTTCGGATGAGGTATTCCGAAGATAGCAGCTCCCCTCCGGCAAGCTATGCCATGACGTTGATGAACGAGAAGGTGAGGTGGCACAGGTCCTCTCGAGACTGCCATGGTCCTAGGAAGGCGCCGAGCTGGTGCTCTAACCTCCCATAGTCGAAGTCGAGGAGCTGATTGCTTCCGGGGGCATGGGCCCCCGATGCATGCAGCTGCAGCTCCTCAAGTGCCTCGGCGATTGCGTCGAGGCCGGTGGAGTAGAGAGGTCGGACGGCGGCGGGAGTCATTGCCAACTCCTCTCCGCCGTGACGATGAAGTCTAGGTCCCCGAAGCGCATGTGTGCGCTCGGGACCCAGCTGAGGTTGTGGCTCGCCATCCGAGGCCTGGTGTGGATGTCGAGACGCGCAAAAGGCCCCTACCTGGCACGCCAACTGTCGATATTTCGAGTTGCCGCCAACAAGTAAATTTCTAATATTGTGCGTCTGGCCCGGATGGTGTGCTAAGAGGACACGATGTTTATACTGGTTTGGGCAGAATGTCCCTACGTCCAGTTCGTTGTTGCTCGTATTACTAGCACTGAAAGTTCGTAGTAGGGGTTACAAACGGTCGAGAGAGGGACAGGTCCCAAATCTCTGGTGGTGTGTTGCGATGAGTTTCGATGGATTTGAGTCCGGGGCCGGATGTCGAGTCTAGTTCGGATGTGTTCGATTCGGATGTGGATGCCCTTTGTGGGATGCACTGCTTTCCCTTTTATAGGCCACGGGAGAGCACGGGTTACGGTGGAGGAAGAGAAGAGAACGAGCAGAAGAAGTCCTTCGGGGTCGTCGGGTCCTTCTCCTTTATGTGGGTCCCGTCAACCCTGTAGACGTCAACAGGGACAGCTTCTCGTTGCGGCCCCGTCTATCATTGGTGCCATGTGTAGGCATCGTCTACCGGTCGTGGCGCTCCACTCCTTCCTAGCGGATGTCATGGTGAACTAATGCGGCCGTCAGTGTTCGTACGAGGGTTAGGTAGAACAGCACAGGTACGCCCGACGCTGTTCCTAACGTAAACCCCTAGGTATGGCCCATCGTGGGTCGCAGGCTACATTGAGACATACCAGTCTCTTCCCTAGCGTCACAGCTTTGACCCAGGCCCATACACTTGGACTTGGAGTGGTTGGTGATGGTATGGGTCTCCATCGGGCGAGACGGAGCCTCCGGCCTCGGGGTCGAGCGAGGCGGAGTTCCTCCCCAGAGGCCGGGTGAGGCGGAGTGCAAACCCAAGGATCAGGCAGGTGGAGCCCAAACCCAAGGGTCGGGCGAGACGGAGTCCGCCCCCAGAGGTAGGGCGAGGTGGAGTCTGCCCTCAGGGATCGAGCGAGACGGAGCCCACCCCCAGAGGTCGGGCGAGGCAGAGCGTGGACTCGAGGGTCGGGTGAGGTGGAGCGCTGACCCAGAGGTCAGGCGAGGCGGAGCCCTGCCCTCAGAGGTCGGGCGAGGCGGAGCGTGGGCCCGAGGGTCGGGCGAGGTGGAGCCATCCCTTGGAGCTCGGCCGAGGCGGAGCGCGGACCCAGAGGTCGGGCGAGGCAGAGCGTGGACCAGAGGGTCAGGCAAGGCGGAGCCATCCCTCGGAGGTCGGGCGAGGCGGAGCGTGGACCCAGGGGTCGGGCGAGGCGGAGCCATCCCTCGGAGGTCGGGCGAGGTGGAGCCCACCCCAGAGGTCGGGCGAGGCAGAGTCTGCCCTCAGGGGTCGGGCGAGGCGAAGCCGGCCCTCGGAGGCCGGGCGAGGCGGAGCCTTCCCTTAGAGGCCGGGCGAGGCGGAGCTTGCGTATCTGGGGTCGGCAAGAGCTGTAGTCGTGCTCTTGACCGCTCGAATGAATCAACGTTGATGTTTATTAGCTCATCCTCTTCGGGTACCCTAGTATTGGTCCCCGACACCTGCCGCGGGCTTCTCCAGCGCACGGACCCGCCGCAGGCCCACAGCCTTCTTCATCGGAGCAGCGAGCTTCGCCACCGGCGAGCTCTACACCGGTGAACTCTACGCGCCGATGAGCCTCCATTCCCAAGCAACCCAGGAGATATTGTGCTGAAAGCGAATGTTGCAAATATTTGTTTCAAGTATTTCAGATGTTTCAGAGGTACGTTGCAAGTGTTTTATATCGATGTTGCAAAAGTAGACTAGCATGTTGCATATACTGCAAGTGTTTAATAGGCATGTTGCAAGCGTTTGTTCAAAGTGTTTCATCTGTTTCAGACGTATGTTGCAAGCGTTTTGATTTCGATGTTGCATATGTTTCACACATATGTTGGAATAATATGTTCGGAATATTTCAGTTGTTTCATTCTTATGTTGCAGTAAGTATTTTCATGTTGTATGTGTTTTATCTGAATGTTGTATATGTTTCACACATATGTTGCAAGTGTATGTTTTCCAAATGATTCATCCGTTTCAGACTTATGTTGTATTCAAGTGTTTTCATGTTGCAAGTGTTTCATGTTTTAGAGGTATGTTCAGAGAGTCATGAGGCACGGCCCAAGCGCTGGGGAAGGGGCGCGGCGAGCTGGGAGCTGGTAGATGGGGCGCATGGCGTGCCTGGGGTCCTGCGGACGTGGCGTGCTCGTCCTTATCCAGGCTCCTAGGTCCCGCCTGCTGGAGAAGAGAAGGGTTAGGGAAGGAGTGGCGGCGCGAGCTGGGTACGCCTGCTGAGGCGAGACGGGCCGACAAAGACAAAGGTGTGGGTGGGCGGGCGGGGCGGGCTAGGACAGCAACATGTGTGGGAGGTCCGGATGGCTCATACGCTCCTCATGTACGGACGCTAGTAATAAGTCCCTTTTTTCCCCCCTCCCAGCACGCGGAGCATCTATCAGCTTTGGCGGGCTAGGAAAATGCGACCATGCGTGCAACAGCCCGAGAGAATCAGAGAGCTTGGTCAACATCGCCGCATATTTTTTTCTCCGTTTCGTTAACGTCACGTAGGCTTCACGCTCACACAAAGGTCGGCGGCGGCGGCGACGGGTGGGGAAGAGGCAGATTCCCACGGCTCTGAGGCGCACCAGCGAAGCGACGCGAGTCACCGGGCACCACGCACCTCTGCAGGTGCGGCGGGGCTGCGACGGTCGGTCAAGCGCCATCGCCAAGCCAATCTCGAGTGCGAGTGGGTGGGTCGGCGTCGCACCGATTGGAATCTGATCCGATGGCCGTCGCGTCGGCCTGGATCCTGTGATGGGACTCGAGATCTCAGCCCAAGCTCCCATCTTTATCCGGGCCTTGTTTAGATTGTAAGTTTTTTCACTCTCTTTTCATCACATCAAATCTTTGGACAAATACGTAGAGTATTAAATGTAGATAAAAAATAACTAATTATACAGTTTGATTGTAAATTACGAGACGAATCTTTTGAGTCTAGTTAGGCTATGATTGGACAATAATTATCAAATACAAACAAAAGTGCTACAGTATCAAATACCGATTCCTAACCCCAATCTAAACAAGTCCCCATTTTATTATCCTGCTGCTCGATCGACTGGTCTGGACCATCGGATAACAATTAGCACAAGCCAGCTAGTAGGATACTGATTTGCTGGCGCGAGTTGACAGATTTGGAACTATAGGATAGTCGACAGTTTCCTCAGGATCATCGTCATCGACGGAGCATGACGGCGTCTGTAAGCGTACTTACACTTTTGGGGTCAAAACTAGTGGCCTGTTCAATCCCTTTATCTAGCCCTTGTTTAGTTGCTCAAAGTTGGCGCCGTCGGAATCACTATAGCGCACTATAGCATTTCGTTTGTATTTGATAATAATTGTCTAATCGTTGACTAATTAGGCTCAAAACGTTCGTCTCGCAAAGTACAACCAAACTGTGCAATTAGTTTTTGATTTCGTCAACATTTAGTACTCCATACATATACCACAAATTTAATGTGACAGGGAATCTTCTTTTTGCATAGTGCCAAAGTTTGAATTTTGGGTAACTAAACAAGGCCCTACTTATTCATTTATTTACAAAAGACAGATGAAAATCAGTGGTCTGTATCTTTTCTCATAGTGGTACTTCCTTTCACAGCTGATGAGAAAGAGGGTTGCTGTTTGTATTTACCTTGTTTCTATCTGTCTTGTACTTTTGTCAAAGCAAATCCAGGACACAGTGTGTGCAACTAGTGGCGCTGCCCCCGTCCGTTAAAGAAAAACACATCCCACTTTCAAAATGTCAAACTAGATTAATAGAAATAATTTTATCTCCAAATAGGCCTACGAAAACTTCATTATATAATCAATCTAATGTTACTTATCTATTACTCAATCCGTTCCAAATTATAAGACGTTTTAGCTTTTTCTAAATTCATGATTTTTGCTACGCCCTTAGATATACACCGTGTCTGGATGCACAGTAAAAGTAATGTATTTAGAGAAGCCAAAACGTCTTATAATTTGAAATGAAATGAGTAGTATCATAAATATTTGTACTATGTATACTTGAATCGAAATTTATTGACTACCAGTAGAAGGTAAGATGTGCATTTTTTATGAACACCTCCATGTAACTTTTTTTTTACCCATCGATAAAAAGCAGCGAAGTGTTCTCATCCCAATCCCAATCCCAGTCCCAGTCCCAACGTTGTTGCGTCTCCACGTCTGTATGTATTCCGGTACTACTCAGAACATGCCCGTAACAAGTACGGAGTAGTGTGGTTTGCATACCGTGCAAAACACCAAAAATGTACAAACACCGAAGCAAGTGGAACGCCCGCCAGCAGCACAGCAGCAGATCGCGATCGGAAAAAGGCACACGCACGCACAGCGGCGCTGTCCGGAAATTCCCCAAATCGACCTCGACCCCATCTGTGCCTGCCTCTCTCCACTTGCGCTCCCTCTGCCTCCAGGCTCTCCAGCTTCACTGCTCCGCTCGGCCTCGTCGTGCGGTGGTGCTCAGTGCTGCACGGGCCGGAGGAAGGACACCATGTCGGCCTCGGCGTCGTCGCCGCCGGCGGGCGAGGAGAATAAGCAGGAGGCGGCGCCCGTCAGGCACTGCAAGGGCGTCAACGACCTCGACAAGGTCGTGCTCCGCGAGGTCCGGGGCAGCTCCGCAGAGGTTCGTTCCCGCCTGCCACTCCCGCTCAGTTGCGTGCGCCCGCTAGGTCGTGTTCCGGCTGCCGGATCCCGGCGCAGATCCGTGGCGCCTGCCATGGTGCTGTTCGAAGCCGGATTTCTCGGTTGCTGCTCCTGTCGCGTGATATAGTACTCCGTCCGTCAGCGGGTTTTCCATGCTAGGTCAGATATGCTTCGTCGTAGCAAAGCTCTACGGCTCCTGTGAGTGACAGACTGACAAGGTGTACCAGGCCAGTGTGCTGATCCGAGTCCAAGCATGTCCCATGAATTCAGTTTTCATCCGTTGTCTTCCCACAAACAGTTGCTGATCAATGACGATCCGAGATTCACACAAGAAGGGAAGAAGTGGCTAATGTGATCCGTCATGGTGTTTCTGTAATTCCTGAACACGGGGCTAGATTCCCTTGTACTGCAAGTAGCCAAGGACTCTGAATTACAGGGACTGTTCTCCACTCGGGCTAAGCCACTCTGACCACCATTACCCGGCAATTTTTTCCATACAGATATACTAGTACAAGTACAAACAAGGCATCCAGTCGTGCACACCCTGAGATATTTTTCGGTTACTCTAAAATTGTGAGGAGCTGGGGACATGGCAGACATGGTTTTATTGATGGTTGGATTAGGAGGTAAGCTATGTAACCTGTAAAGGATAATAGTCGTTAATCCTTTGTGTAACTGCTAGAGCTGTGGAACATTTGTATTGAAGGGAATGTTGAAATGTGTCGTGCAATGGTGAGTGGCCATCGCAGAGGCCATCCCTTTGTATGCTTGGGCTCATAGGAATGGAATGGTTTTAACAGTGACATAAAGTTTGGATATATCAAATCAATTCCATGGAAAATTAAATTTGATTATTCGGGCAACTTCCACATCATTTGAAATCTCAACCTTCATGCTTCTTTTTTCTTGCTTTGGCATCTTTAGCTTGGCATGGATGGTGAATAGCTGGGCGTTCATTTGGGTGCTTCTCTGCTGTGACACAGTTTCTGCTTAAGCATATTGATGATTGTGAACATGCAAACTATTGTTGAGAATGCCATAAGATAACTTAAGATGATGGGTAGAGGACAAGCTTGTTCAGGGTGCGCTACTGCACTACCTCTACCTATCTGTGATATTTGGTCTAAGAGCATCTCCAAGAGTCCTCCTAAACTTAATTCCCCTATATCCTTGTATAGGGTGCATTCTAACCAAAAAATCCCGCTTCTCAAACATTTTACAGTTCCCCTACTCAAATAACATACAGGGTGGACAACAGTCACCCCAAATTTAATTTGAGGGAGACGGAGGGTGATTTGGGATACCACTAAATATAGGATGTTGGACAGGGGGGACTATTGGAGGGTGATTTTTGTTGCATAAACCTTAGTTTTGACTAAGAGGTTGGACAGGGAAGCTCGTGGATACTTGCCTATTTCAATTATTGTACCAGGCACCCAGCATTGCTGAAAATTGTCGTTTATTATTTTCATGCCAATTGTTGTACTTTTAGTTACAAAGCTCACTTGACTTGCTTTTACTTGCACCATCTGGTTGACTATGTTAACTTACAAGCACAGACATTCTATATTTGGCGAGTCGAAACTTGAAATGAATAACAAGAAGGTATATGGGGCTAAGTAACCATAGACTAAAATGTTATTGCATAAGGTTTTGCTATTAGAAACTCAAATGCTAAGTCGATCGTAATAACCTCATATATCCCCTCAGAATTTTGACACAGAGATTATATTGTACTCATGTTTGAACTTGGGCTATCAAAAAAGTTGTTACCATGGGCTCTATTATTTGTCTAAACAATTAGCAACATGGTTTCCAGTACATAGTCATGGGAAAGAACAGCACTGAACAGAATTATACAAAGTTCACATGAAATTATTTGATTTTTTTGGTATCCTGTATATGCTCTTCTGATTTCTTTTTCTGTTTTTTTTTCTTGAAACCTACTACAAACATTTGAACTTTCAATAATAATATAATTCATTGCTTGTAGGTGTACTTGTATGGTGGGCATGTGACATCATGGAAAGATGAGCATGGAGATGAGTTACTTTTTGTTAGCAATAAGGTGCTATTTTTTTGCCTTTATAATCTTTCAGCAGTATATCATTTATAGTGAACATTTTTTGGCGGGTTTGATTTATTGAACTATTAGAATTTAAGTCTCATCTCTGTGTGACTGCATATGTCCTTTATTTGCTTGATTTGATCCAGTCTACAGTCTGTTCTTTGCCTGAAATTATTGCTCAGCAGCTGTTTTGTCCATCCAAAAGCAGTACAGTATCTTCCTTGTAATGAACTTTTTAGGATTGTTGCATGCATGCTAACAAAAACATAGACATTGTGAAATGTAGTCTACCACTTGTTTAGTTCATTTCTAGGTGAAATAAGTTCTGTAGCCATCAAGTTCTATCTTGAGTTACGGACTAATGGTTGATTGTTTAATTCAGTAAGTGAAAGAATATCTACACTAACCTTCACTGCTAGTATTTCACGTACACCTTTCTCTCTTTATCATATTGGCAGATGTGAAAATAATGTGAATGTTACTGGTGCTTCTTGACATGCAATAATATTTGAATCTGGGAAAAAAAGCAGCTGGAGTATGAGTTGCATTTTGTCTTGATCGCTTGATGTTTGAGTGTTACTATTGCTATTATATCAGGCTATTTTCAAGTCTCCAAAAGCTATACGTGGAGGAATACCAATCTGCTTTCCACAGGTATGCCATTATCCTTCCAACAGCTTTTGGCTTCTCTATATCTTCTTCTATGGGAATCTTAATTCCACTTATGTAGTTTTCCAACTTTGGGAATCTGGAACAACATGGATTTGCAAGGAATAGGACATGGTGTGTTGATAATGATCCTCCACCATTTCCAGTGCCAACCTCCAATACAGCTTATGTGGACTTGATCCTCAAACCTACTGAAGAGGATTTGAAGATCTGGCCTCATAGGTGAGCTTATTGTCACTTGCTCGTAATGATTTAATGCTACCGTAGGACGCCTGAAAGGCTTATCTTTGTTATATTTCTTAGTAATTTTATTGCATTAGAAGGCAAGCATGTCCATCTGTATATTTACAGATATATTATATTGCAGTTTTGAGTACCGCCTGAGGGTTGCACTTAGTCCTGGTGGTGATTTGATGCTAACTTCACGTATAAGAAACACTAATGCAGATGGGAAGTCATTCTCTTTCACTTTTGCATACCACACATACTTCAAGATTTCTGATATCAGGTACATTGGTTCAAATCATGGTCATCATTTTTTGAAATATTCAATTTGCCAGCATAGCTTTTGAAATAATCTTGTGGCAGCATGTTTATCCCCAGTCCCAATTCGTTTGACCAAACTCTGGTATTCAACCATAAATATCCTTTGTAATTAGTCTTCTTAAGTACAGAAGTGTTTACATGACTCCATGCTAATATTTCAGTGAGGTGCGAGTAGAAGGTTTGGAAACTCTGGATTACCTAGACAACTTACAAGATAGAGCCCGTTTCACTGAACAAGGCGATGCAATTGTTTTTGAATCCGAAGTGCGTCGACAAAGCATTTCATTTACCCTTTATCAACTCTCTTTCTCGTTATTACTCAAGAAAGCATATGCAATTTTGCAGCTGGACAGAATATATCTGGGCACACCGTCAAAAATTGCCATTATTGATCATGAGAAGAAAAGAACATTTGTTGTGAGGAAAGGAGGCCTTCCTGATGCTGGTCTTGTGAATGCTCATCTTTACTTTGCTTGCTACTGCAATAGATTATTATCATTGAAACAATTCAAGAATGAAGTTCATGAGGTTTCATATATTTTTCGTTACAGTTGTTTGGAACCCCTGGGATAAAAAAGCAAAGGCTATGTCAGATTTTGGGGATGATGAATATAAACGAATGGTATGCGTGGAGGCGGCTGCTATAGAAAAGCCTGTCACTCTAAAGCCTGGTGAGGAGTGGACTGGAAAGCTGGAACTTTCTGCTGTGCCATCTAGTTATTACAGTGGTCAGCTAGACCCTGACCGTGTGATTCAGGATTCTACTGTCCCGGAGGACTCAATCAGCTAGTCCTTAAGTCTATTTTTGCGCAGGTAACATTTCTAGAACTACTGTATGCACTATAAGTCTGTGAATTGAATCAAGTAAAAATCAACCGTAGTACTATGCACACTTCATATTCTATTGGAGTCTTTTCTATTAAAATATGACAGGTCAAATACATTTCTTGTACATGTACTGTGTCAGACCATGTGTGAGCAACACAAATATGATCATTCTCAGTCACGTCCTAATATTTAAGGAAACCAAGTTTTAAATTTGTTGATCAACATATGAAGTAGATTGCCAAGAATTATAGCAGATAACGAGGTCAGGGCATAAGGACACTTTCACGGGCCTAAATAGTCCTGGTAGGCCACTGAGGTGTTAGACCCAAGACAGGCCAATATGGCCCGGCGTGAACAATACCCGTGGATAATATAGCACTGGTACTATAGCGCAGCACAAAACCCATCTAGATCTAGGATTGGGAAGAGTCCAAAAAATTGGAATAGGTTGGGTCCTCCCTATAAATGTAAACGGAGATGTATCTATTGAGATTAAGCAAGAATAATCTAGGGGAAACCCTAATCCTCTCTCTCCTCTCTCTTCCAGCTGCCGGCAGCCATGCTACCCACCACCATGCGCCATCAATTCTACTCCAAATCAAGGATCATCACAGACACCCGGCAGCCATGCTACCCACCATGTGCCATCAATTTTACCCCAAATCAAGGATCATCACAGACACTTTACTTGCCATCATACAGGATGACTGTTAAAGTGGCAACCACATTGAGGAAGATTAGCTAATGCGCAAATTGTTTTGTTTGTCTCCAACTATCGATATCAACATTATCTAAAAAGACTATCGATATCAAATATTATGAACCACATTTGTTGTAAATTCTTAATTACTGTATTTGATTCACACGGATATGTTTTCAACGATGCAGGTAGAGCATTATATCATATGCATAAGAGATGCTGGTAACAAGGACTCTCCACATATTTCTTCCATTCTATTCAAATCTTTGGTGTTTTCTATTCGGAGTACATATCCGAACCAAGGAAATGTGAAAATGGTTTCCATTTTTTAGGATCTATGTGGTATAATGGGCAAGTTGGTGTTCATGTCTTGAAACGAGAAACATCTTCCATGAGTTGTAAAATAAAAGAAAAATCCTCTTTATATTTGATCATTTTTTGTCTTAAGACGTATAATCAGTTCTATACTGGACCTAGAAAACAGAGATGGTATGGAAATGGACACATGTGGTGTGTGAATACAGAGGGTGTGGAAATGGACACGTGGTGTGTGAATGTTCCGCGCTCTGTAACTTCTTGAGTTCTTGTAGATGCATTACAAAAACTTATCTAAATGCTTCGCATACAGGTGCATTTAGCCTCACATGGTTGTTAAACTTGCATTTATCTTCACATGGTTGTTAAACTTCCCAAGGATTGTTCGTGGTTGATGTAACATATCACCAGATCACATGTGCATTTACTTTCCTATGATTATCAAGTAACTACATATCGAAGACTTGTTCATTATTAGCGTAACATATTATATTATCTTCGATTCTAATACTCTATGGCCGTTTTGTGTACTGGACGGTGGTTTGGTCCTCTCGCTTATTGAACTGGTTTCTTAAGGTAACTATAATTTGTCGCCGTAGTATCTAGCTATCAAAAGATTAATTGTCTGACAGCATATTGGGAGTATTCCAATTAGTTGGATTGATGGGACTAACAGTATGCAGAGCCTATCTAAAAAATTAGCTAAAGTGGCTAATAATTTGCCAGGTCTTTGCTTAATGTGTGGCTAATAATTTCCCAGTTAGTACATCTTTGGGAAAAAAAAGCTAAAAATCGGCTCACTGACAAGTGAGGTTTAGGGCAGAAAAAATGTGACAGTTTGTCAGCTATGACATGGGCAAAATTTAGCTAAAAAGCAAACCTATGACAGGTGGAGTCTATAGCCAAAAAAATGTGGAATGCCATGACTATGGCATAAACCAAATAGTTGCGACAAAATGTGTGGTGAGGTTTAGAAAATTGAGGCAGCTAACTGAACATACCCTATCAGTGATCTTGTTCCACACCGAGAGAGTGAGAGTGACTTAGAGCGCATTCGGATTGAAACCAGTAAGAGTGAGACAATATTAGCCATTGACCATTGATGAGGCATCATTTTTACGGTTACTACAATTTGTCAGGACACTATACAAGTAGCTGATGTGTAGTCCTATTTTAGCTGATGGCTGGCCAATACGGGGTGGCTAATTTATGCACCAAAGTTTGTCCAGCCAAAATTGTTTTGGCAGGATACGTATAGGCACCAACCAAACGTGCCCTTGATCTTGTTGGTTGGTTGATCCGTAGAATGATTTATAAATTTTATAATTTTTTATTATTAATTTATACAGTTTTTTTTCTTTGAATTCATAGGCAAATATCAGGTGATGGCATGACAAGGTTCATTCAGGTACAACATGTATCAATGAAGGTTCACACAGTTTAGATCTGTGGCTTATAGATTTTATACATGAACTGATAGCTGAATCCTAAAGTGGGTAGAATTAGTCATTATATGTTTAGATGAATTATTTGTTCCTTATCTATGCCCTGTTATATTTTGCATGACGATTGTTGTGCATTCAGCTCTTGATACTCAACTAACACTTTTAGTCCTACTCTCCACGTGGGAGAACGGAACATGAAAACTAAAGCTTACCTTTAAAAAAAAACAAAGCTTTGTTTTAATGATTATGATCCAATCAAAATGCAAATCATAAGATATTTTCTTAAATATAAGTTTTATCTTTATTCGTCCATAATAATCAAAATTTCTTAGTTTAACTAGCCGTCTATAAAATAGTATCATTTTCAATAAAAAAGATTGTATCTTGTAAAAAAACTATTTTCATAACAAACCTAGGAATATCAGTGTTGTGTTATCATCTGTTATATATAGATCTTTATACACATAAAAGTTTCATCCTTCGTCTCTCGGTCCATCATCTCTTACTCCCACCCATCTTCTTTCATCACTCATTTTGACTCTTCTCGCTTTCACGACTGTCTTTCATTCCCACCCCTTCTTCTTTCGTCCATATTTGTCCACTTAGTTGGGAGTTATAAATTTTTCAAATTGTGTCGCACCACGCGCTTGGTCTGACTGGCCAAATCCGAGTCCATTCGTGTTGCAACTTGGCATACACATGTGGCTACACTTCCATTCTTTCTTTCTTTTTGCAAAGGACTTCCATTCTTTTAACTTCACAACAAACATAGACAATAGCTATATATTTAAGCTGAGTTAATCTTCATTTAATTTTCTATACGAGAGTAATCCTTTATTACAAGTACTTCATCCGTTCCAAAGTATAAGTCGCTTTGACTTTTTTGGTTCATCCATTTTGCTATGTATCTAGACATATTATTATTATTATTATTATTATATCTAGATGCATAGCAAAATAAATGTACTCAAAAAGTCAAAGTGACTTGTAATTTGGAACGGAAGGGAATGACATTTTCCTCGCAGAAAAAGGGAAGGAGTAGCATTTATTATGCGTCTTAGGATTTAATTAAAATAAAACTATGTCATGTCCAATTAAATATAACAAGATAGGTTAACTTTACATGTTGTTTGTTGTAAGTACTTGCAACGTTCCAGCATGTTTGCTAGCATGTATAGTGGCAACTGGCAATCAAAGGAGGGAAGAGACAGGCCGGGAAGCCAAAGCCCCCTCTTCGTTGACGAGTGACGCCGAGCAGAGATCCTCCGGCCTGCTGGCCTCCTCTTCTCTTCTGGGCTCTCCTGCGCGATCAAATCCGATTCAACGGCCGAGAAAAAAAGCCTCGAAGCGGAAACAAAAAAGAAAAAGAAAAAGAAAAAGGAAAAAAACAGGGAGAGCCCAAGCCTGAGACGAACACGAAGAAGCAAGGAGCAAAGCAGACACGAGCGAGCCCATCCCAACCCACGAAGCAGCAGCAGCAGCCAGCCGCCTCGCCACGCGCCCGAGCAACGACGCCGAGAGAGCAGCCCGCCCGCCCGCCCGCCAGTGAGCAGCGAGGGCAATTCGTCTTCGGCTGGTCCCCGTCCCGCTTCCGCCCGCCAACCCCAATTGCTCCCCCTCCCGGAGGTCAGCTCAATTCCTGCTGTTTCTCGGATTCGATTCGGTTCCGCCGGGCGCGTCGTCTCCCTCGCCGGAGATCCAGCAGGTACGAGCTCGCGGGAGCTCGGCGGGGCGGGGGATCATGCCTCCATTGCTCTAGGGTTTGGGCGGGTAATCCAATTGGCTCGCCAGGCCCGCGGCCTCTATGCTCGATTCGGGCCTGCCTCGCCGCTCCCTGGGCGGCTCCTTGATCTCGCGGCGGTTGGTGCGGCGCCAGCGGAGATGAGATCCCCTCCATGGCCGGCGAGCTGGGAATTGGGGTACGGGCTCGCGCTCTGCAGGAAGAGGCGCAAGCCCTAATGGTTTGATCCTAGCTGGGTGCGGCGTGCTATCCCCAATTCGTTGGTTTCTCTACTCCGGGTCTGATATTGGGGTTTGCTGCGGTGGTAACTGCATGGACACAGTAAGGGAGGAGGCATGGCCAGTGGCTGCACCACAGCAGCGACAGCAGCCATCAGCTCCCCAACCGCAGCAGCAGCAGCAGCAGCAGAATGGCCGTATCGATCTCAGGGAGCTCAAGGCTCAGATGGAGAAGCGGCTTGGTCCGGATCGCTCGCGGCGATATTTTGGCTACTTGAATGGCTACTTATCGGAGAGGCTCGGCAGGCAGGACTTTGAAAAGCTGTGCCTGCAGACCCTGGGGCGGAGAACCTCCAGCTGCACAACCGCTAATCCGTGCAATTCTCTACAATGCCTACCAGGGAAAGTGCCCGCCTCCTCCTCCTCCATTGGATGCAGGGAGGAGACCTGTAGGGGCATCAGTAAAGAAGGCTTCTCAGGCTGCTGAAGTGTTGAATGCTTGCAATGGTGATGCCAGGTTGTTACAGGTTCAGGGATTGAGGC